GTATCCACTGGCTGTAAATCCATTCAGACAGGTCGCATTGTGAAGGCATGGGTTACTAGAACATGGGTTCTGAGAAGAAGAAATCAATATAAAACGTTTCAATTTTAAGCATAACGTTTTGCTAAATTACCTTGAGTCAAAACCGAAAAAAATATTTAAGAAATAGAAAGAATGTACCGTGTTTCTACCGAGTTATAGAAACACGGGTGGATGTTTAGGAGACCTTAGGAGAACGAGAAATGCCGTAGGAATACGAGCCGACAGACAAGAAAACAAACTCGCTCCATCATTACGTCAACAGCTCCTGCTAGGTCTGTGTTTCTATCGAGTTTTAGTAGCATTCTACTAGTATACTAATGCAGATGCTGCAATTTGATTGGCTGAGCTACTCGTATACTGTCAGCCACTAGTAGAATTCTAATAGTTTACTAATGCAAATGCTTCAATCTGATTGGCTGAATTACTCGTACACTATCAGCCATTATAGTTCACCAATAAATTTTCTCCGATTCTTATTGGTTTAAATTGATCACGTGACGCGATAGTGTTCATCCGCGGAGAGACACTATCAGTCATCAGTAATCCATCAAATACTTTCGCTCGCGTGCGATTGCTCTAAACGCGTCACGTGACCGAATATTCCCCCGCTAAAACCGGGGAATATCCGAGATTATTAAATTCTCAACCTCGGATAATGCCATTCTAGTTTTCTGATTGGTTCACTGGATCTCGGTTACCAGCCATTACACCTGCGTTTGACCTTATATGGAAATGAATGCGGTAAATGTCGCTCGGCATAAACTTTTTCGCGGGAAGCCAAGTTTCGTCGACAAAAAAACGGATGAAAAAAAGCAGATTCGGTGAGCTATCTACAGAAGAAATACAGAAAATTATGCCGTCTCAGTAACAACAAAAAAGCCACAAAGTTCGAGATTAGATTATTTAAGGGTACGTATACGTTAAGTTTCCTTTAATAGTTGCAAAATTAAAATATGACCGTCGAGATTTTACGCTTTCATGAAGATTATGTAACAAAAACAATGTTTACCTTAACAGAATGGTTTGCAAGTCCTGGTGGCACCAAATTTCGAAACCGATATAAGAAATGTCAAAGGAAGAACTGAATGTTTGTTTGCAGTGTTTTTACGCGTCTGCGAGGAAGAAAGATGGCACGTATTGGAAATCCATCAGAGCCGCCATTGATCATTTCCTTTGCACGCCGCCGCACAACAAACCGTTTTCCATTATCTCTGACCAGGCAAATAAATTATTAGAGCATTTGCAAAAGGCCTCAGGAAAACAGGCATCATTGTCGGCGTAGTCCATAAGAAACCAATTTCCAATGAACAGATGAGGAAACTGTTCAACTTAAGCGAGCTCGGATCGGCCGAGAGCAAAAATCCCCCATAGCTACAGTGGACGACCCAAGTTTTATCTCGGTCTCTTTTTTGGCCGACGAGGACGGGAGAATCAACCGACAGCTAGTGCCAAGAATTCTGTCCTTGCGGAAAACACGTCAAGGAGCTGAGTGTTTTGAGCTGAACCGAAGTAAGCCCGGTTATTTACCAGCCACGAAAAACCATCAGGGTGTCCTCGGAGATTCTGAAGCTCGAAGATGAATCTGACGCTAAGATAGTTTCTGTCCCTGACTCTGAATCTGGCCAACAATGAACTCCACGCATACAGCTCGAAATGCCAAGGCTTTCAAAGCAAGGGAATCCTGAAAGCGGTCTTCTCGAGAAAAATTTTGGCACAACGTCTGTGTCACATAGCGATGAAAGTTTTCCGCAGCATTATTACAAGTGCAAGTGCACAATTATTCGGCTCTTCTCCGTGTCTCGAACTTGATCGCTTTTCAAACTTTCTGACCAAGGTTATATCTCCTTCATTTGACAGACGTTCCTTGAATTCTACTTGATTGTAATTTCATTCAGCAAATTCGCTTGCTTCGCTTTCAAATTTTCATTCAACTAATTTTACAAATGGCGCGCATGTCATGTGATTT